TTAGAACATCCAGCCCATCGTTTTATTTGTATTGGATAAATTAGAATTATAGTTTGGGTAAGGAAAAATCAAAGAATGAGAAGAAAAATTGAATCAAAAATTATAGGAGGAGAAGAGAATAAAGAAATAAGTTGCAGAATTGTCACATAGAAAGAAGAAAAATATTATTTATATAAATATAAAATTAAAGAATATTTTTGCGTTAACTAAACATCCTCTCAAAATCCTTAATGTATTTGTTTTCACTCTTTAGTTAACTCTTATAATTCAAGCAATTTTTTGCTTCAATTAGCTCTTATCGACTTTGACTTTTCTTTGCTGCATCTTATTAAAATTTTTCAACTTGCTCTTTCGTTCTGCAAAAATATCTCATTCTTTTGTTTCTTCCAATAGATATAATTAAAGAATCAAACTTTTTAATTCAAATAAATCATGCACTTTGGGATTCTTGAATAACGAATGATTCTGATCTATAGTTTTAAGAATATTAACTGCCCATGTTTTATCGGGATATTTTCAATCTACAAAACCAAGCTCTTAATCATTTAGTTCCTTTTAAATGTCATGTAAAATTTCCTCTTTAGCTCTCTTAGCAATTTTCCTGTTTGAGGCTTTTTTAATTCAAGCATTTGCTTATAAAATGGAAATCATATAGAATTATTGATCTTTATTCAATTAATTTTAAAATGCAAACGCAAATTTATATTGAAAATATCTTTTCCAATTAATCAAATTGAGAGCAAAATTGCATTTTTATTTACCAAATTATAAAAAATAAAAATAATATAGTATAAATTGACAAAATATTTTTCCATTCAATTTTATTATTGGATGCTGACATGAATTTTAGAACATCAAATTTTATTTAATGTAAATAATTCAATTATTTCTTAATTGAAATTGAAACTCCAGCTTCAACTTTTTCTCTATAATAATATTATTTGCTTCAGCAGGCCTTACACATAAACTACAGTATATAGACATACATGCAATGATGATTGTCAATAAAGTTATTAAACCTATATGTATGAATCAAAAAATTTTCGTCAAAATAAAACAGCAATGCAGGAATTGATTACTTTGTAATTAGAAACAAAAGGGAAGAAGCCTATAAAGAATGATTCACCAACCTCAGAGAGCCAATACATTTAAATTTAACTAACTTTCAAGTTGAAGTAAATAGCTTCAGAATTAGGATTGTTTATGAAACTTGTTTTTTTTACAGGATAATTGGGAATTTCAATTGGACAGGCTAAATATCTATAAAGTAAATTTGAGAGTATCCCAAATCTCTGAGTCAACATAGCACAAATTATGGATTAAAAACTTGTTAGCGTAATTTAATGATGCTAAGTTGAGTTTAAAAAATTTAATAAAATTCATTGTTAATTTTCATATTAATCAATAAAAACTACAATTTCATTCATTCTTTTAGTTGTTTAGGCATCTTTGGTTATATACTAATAGCCTACTTTAGTTGCTTAATGTTAAATCTCAAACCTAATTCTCTATTGAAAGAAGATTTGAATTTGTAAAATACTTAAATATTTTTCAAATTAAAATTATAAATTAGCCTACTTCGATGAAAATAGCATAGGGAGAATCTTAAAAGTTGAATGATGCTGACAAAAAGAATATTTATATATCGCTGTAAATAAATAGAACTCCTCAAAAAGTAAAAATATGTTATCAGAGATTTAAATCTGTTATTTGGAGAATTTTTGAATGAACTTTTAAGGATGTTTTAGTAAAATAACGAATAAATAAGTTTTTTTACCTAATGCTAGAAATGTCTTTAGCCACTAGGCATAATAATTCTGAATCAAC